CTCAATCGAACGAACAGACGAACGGACGAACGAAATAAGAATTGAGCAGCACTTATGTGGCACAGCTGGTGCACCATACACACCAACCTTGCATGCATACGGCTCAACTTACTGTATTTCGTGGCATGTTTTGTGATAGGTAGGGCAAGTAAATAGGTATCATTGATTCTGGAACCTTTCCAGGCTCAATCCGAGGATATTTAAAGCTCTGTATCAACTTATAGCTGGCCCTTGGTCTTTGTGGGTCCCTCAGCGACCGGGAGTAGAATTTGTACATGTTTGTCGCGGACTTCTGCCCCAGTGAAGAATTGCTATCGCTTCGCTCGCAACTAAATCAAATACTCTAAATCACGGCTAGACATTCGATGCGCTTCCTACTCCCTGAGTTCCAGTTTAGTGATCCCCTGCTCCAAAATCTCGCGGAACTCTCTGTATCCCAACATGATCTCAGGTTGACTGGAGACTTCCGATCTAACAGTGTCGTCCACATAGGGGTTTTTCCCGATGTTCCCCCGTACTTGTGTTCTGTGCACATCTTGAAGGAGAATGAATAACCTCAGGAGGATATTGAAGAAAGGACGTGACATTCCTATCTCCTCCAACTCGAAGTCAGTGCCTGCTTTTTGGGCCCATTCCAGGGGTGCTATGGACACCCTAGCCTTTACGATATCCTTATGGTCAATCTTCCCAAATGCGGCATCGAACGTGTCTTGCCAGTACTTCCGCTTGCTGGTGTCCCACTTCGTCTGCCGTGTTATCTTCATTAGAACAGCGTAACCTAGAACGTAGATGAAAGACTCGATATCATCCGCGATGCCTTGGCTAGGCTGAGCTTGATTTTCATCTATAGCTTTCAATATTCTGAGGGACATGAATTGCAATGTTCCCTGGTGACATGGGTACATATATAAGTAAGGTGCATGCGTGTTGGAGGGGTCTCGCTAACCGTCAAATCTGCGCCACGTTTTGCGGTGGTGTAACCGAAAGTTATCTTCATAGATGTGTCCCAGTCAGTATAGTGAGGGTTGCCACTGGCGTAACGACCCCTCAGGACGGGGGCAACTCGGCGGACTTCCGTCACATCCTTGGGCAGTTCGTTCACACGTGCGTACTCCAGATCGCACAGGAAGCCCTCTGCACCCGAAGGTGCATTCCTGAAGTCGGCAGCGAGGAGGATATTCCCGGCACTGATATCACGATGCAGGAGTTTCTTCTTCGTGGAGAGCCATTCGTGTGCTTGATGAATGTGCGTAGGTCAGACTCTATAACTACTAGGAGTGGGTAGAAGGACATACCACTCAAAGCTGCCAGAAACCCTTTCAGAAGCTCCAGCTCGGTTTCATACTCCCAGATCGGTCGGCCAAGGGTACTTATGAAGAGCCTGTGGAGTATCTTGGTTTCCTGTCCTTCCTGTCCACCTGGAACTTGGCGGACTTCGGTTGAATTCCCGTCTGCATCAAGAACATCTTCACCAAAGATGTGGCTAGCCAAAGCCGGATGGCCTCCTCGAACAGCTCCATAGATCTCTGATTCAGAATTGCGGCCACTGTCTCTCCATGCAGTCTTCATCACAACAGTGGCCTCACCGAGACTAGCATCCAGTCGGTGATTCTGGATATCCATGGACTTGTATTCCCGTACACGGAAGACGAGAGTTCCACGGCCAAAGAGTGACACCGAGCTCCAGATCATAGGCCCGACTGTGCACCACCATCGGCTATCCTTTCCGCAAAACGGTTTAATGACGTAGGATGGATACACGCTTGAGCTTTGGTCTCCAGTGAGACGCCGAGTCTCCTCTTCATCCAGTCGAATGACCGTCGGGTCCTGGCCCAACTCGATGTCCGACAAAACGTGCCCCAAGTTTCGTACCACTGCAATGAAGGTCTCGCAATCATATATTATGGACTTGGCGGGAGAGAGACGAACGCTGCCACGATCAAATATCGCGACGCAGAAGTGGGTTCCCCAAATAAGCAAACCCACGGAGAAGAGTTGAAAGGGTCTAGCTGACATATGCAGGCGTGCATAGGTGGCAGCTTGCGCGAGGATACGCGACACACCCGTTGGGGTGACCTTCGGATTCTCCCCTTCCGAGGTCTTCACCTCAACAAACACCGCTCTGTGACGCCACAAATTCGAGTTCTCTTTGCCGTGGTCGACGATGGTGAAGTCCGGCTTCACTAGGGAGAAACCAGCAACATCGATATCAGGTCGCAGTTCTTGTTCCTCTACTACAGCGCGGCCTAATTCATTATTACCGAGAGATGTCAGAGCGTACTGGAAGAGCTGTAACTGAGGGAGCTACCGTTAGCCTGGTAGATACTATTATCCAGTGCCACAAACTCACGAGGTGCGGATACATTAGTCGTTCCTTGGCACTGGCAGAAGAGGACGCAGCTAGCTCTCTGAGGGAAGTGAGAGCTCCTGCGTTTTCGATAGGATATTTCTTGACAAGGTCTTCTATATTGTTCGCATGCGCTCCGCCCTTCGTTTTGTACATGTCCAGACGGAGATGCGAGAATACGCCATCATCTTCGAATTGGGTTCGGCGACCCACTTCCATAGCAAATTTACGGTGGTCCACAGAGTGTGAGCTAGCAAAATTGTGGGTGGACCCAGGGTTGGGTTTCCGGGGAGAGTGATCAGTTTCCATAGCTGAAGTAAATGTAGAGATGGGTTATCTTGCCTTTCATCTAACATGACTGACAGTATTTATACCCGTTCTCTCCTGGACGAGCGTAGGTAACACACCAGTCAATGGAATACAAGAAAGAGATCTGTAAGCCGCTCGAGACCTTTCCTAAGCAGGACCATTGCCTTACCGATGTAATCCGTTCCTTGAGACGTAGGTTGCAAAAGCTCAATTAGCTCAGGGTATTGCTCCCGATCATGTTTCGTGGCCGCGAGCCTTGTCACGAAGGCATAGCACTTCGATAACGTACCATGAAGGTGCACTTGGGTAGACCGGAGTCTCCGGCGATCTAGTTATTGACACGCCAATCACTCTGGCGAATGAAGTCGGAATGAAGCCCGAGAAAGCCTCAGATTGATCTGCTCGAAGCTTGGGCGAATATCACTGCGAACAGTATATCGTGGAACAACCTCAAAGAAAAACAACTGTTCCCTACGCATCACTGTGGGACACGGCGACTCATGGGTAGTTGAATGAACCGTACAACATCGCACATGCAAGCGTGGCAGAATATAGTGGTAATAGGCACAACTTTCCACATGGCTCCGTGGTCTAGTGGTAAGATACCTGCTTTGGGCGAGATATGCAGGTGATCCCGGGTTCGAACCCCGGCGGAGCCCTTTTTGCGCCCTTATCTCCCTTTGTATCAATGCTCGTACTGAGACATCAAGCAATATCCTAATCATTTCAACGTCACTATAATAAACAAAGAAGGCGATGACTATGCACAACAGCTTGAAACACTATCCAAAGTACTCCTCTAGAACCGCCTTCTTCCGTACATCCAAGAGAATTTTCTCCATCTCTTCCCTTCCTGGTATCTTTGGAGGCAATAAGTGCTCCGGGCATAAGAACGGTATATAGGACGCAGCCGCAGTCACAATCATCTCCAATTGTTCCTTATCTTCTGGCTCCTCCACCTTCGCAGCACTGGAATCGTCAGTCTTCGTTCGCTTACCGTCAGCCATGTCAATATCTTCGTCCGGTACTTTTCGCTTCGTGCTGTTCGGTGGCGGTTCGGTTATGTCGGAGTCAGATATTGTTACGGTGGCCGCCTTGGCATTGGACACGGGTAACGCGGGAATAGGTTCATCGGTTGGCAGACCGAGCGTCCCGAGTAAATTGAGATAGGCTTCTTCCCATTCTGTGTTTCGCAAAACAAAAACTCAATAAGGACATGCGTTGAGATGGAACAAGGAGGCGCTAACCTTCTTGTTCTCGTTGGCGTTCAGCTTCTATCAGTTTCCCGTCTACTTCGTCCAGGTCGCCGTAGTAGGCCGGACCTTGATTGGTAAATCGTTTATAAAAACTTTGGATCTAATGGTAGCAAGTAAGACTCCATCGCTTTCCTCGTACATAAGAAAGCTCACTTGGTTCTCTTCATCCTCCTCTTTCTTCTTTGACTGGAAGAGCTCCCGAACACCAGGAAGGTCCTTCGCTCGTCCGAAGTACCTACACAATGCGGTGAAGGTAACCAAGTCAGCAGAGGACATCAATGAATGGAGTTCTGGTACGGACTTGTATCCTTTCGTCCCCGGAACCTCTTTGCCATCCTCGTCCAGCATGGGGACATTCCGCCGGTAGTTGGCACCTCCCAACGCGACTATCTGATTCTCCCAATGCCGCTTCTCCCGCATGAGCTTGTTGATCTCGTCGTTCAGGTCCCGGACTTCATAGTCCGTCAAGCCAGCTAGCAAACGTCGCGCGTTAGCAAACGCTCACCATCCGCACTTGAGTTGCAAGAACGGAAGTTGAGCGACCCAGAGCTGAAAGCACTGCAGCCACTCACCATCCTGGATTTTGCTGACTTTCCTGCTAATCTCTCGCAGAATCTCTCCTCTCCACCGCTCGCATTCTCGCAAGCTCTTACACGAACTGGCCATTCGCGGTCGGCGGTCCGCCCGTGTTCCAAGCCCAAGCTCTGCCGCTTGGGCTTCACGGAAACGGTAGAGCATAGATTGTGCCTTCTCTTCATTACGAGCCTATAGTATTGCAGTTAGTCGAGAAACCTGACGGTGTTCGTAGTGCGCGCACCATGTCTAGTCGAGCGTTGCGGAGGTGAAGTCCAGCACCAGTTGAGGACCAGCTGCAGTGGGCAACAGTGGGTGGCGTTGAGGAGTTGCCAATGCAGTGCACTCCTTGCTTACGTCAACAAGATAGCTTCTCAGAAGTTCGCTCTTGCCACACTTGCCACCTCTGCCACACCGCGAGCACCCTAAGGTTCTCAAGCTTTCGACGTTCTTGTTTTCCAAAAGGAATTTGATATCACCTGAAAGATCGTCCTTCAATGTAGAACTTCGCAAGATGTGCGTTTCCTGGAGCCTAGGCATATTTCCCTTCAGACTCTTCAGATTCCCGTAGGTTACGGAGCACGAGCGTATATCTTTTTTTTCTGCTTGAATTTGAAGCAAATTTCCAAATTAGACGACTCCCTAGCCTCGTAGTTCAATAATGTATAGAGCAATGCCGGAGATAACCCTCGTGGTCTGATTCTAGTAACCACAAGGGGATTTTGGGGTGCGTATTCTCCAGACTATGCCTTGCTTAATCTGTGCACGCGCTTCTGTTGCTTCAGGCCTCAGGGTCACCACCACACGCGCTTGCCGACGCAAGTGCCACACCTCGATTGAGCCACAGCACAATGCGCTATAAATTCAGGAGATATATGCACCTCCCACTCTTTATCATCTCCCTCTTTGCGCTGGAACCTTCCTCTGGTCGTCATCGCCCGTGTCATCTACGTCATCCACCATACCATGTCCGGCGCTGAGGGAGATACAAGCACAACCGTGACCATCACCATCGAAGGCACATCTCCTAAACCTGAACGAACCCCGTTACCATCGCCGCCAAAGACCCCGCCACCGGAAGGAGATGGCGAAGTAAAATGATATCTGTTTAAGACATCACTGCCAACGCGAACGGGTAGGTGGTTCACTCAGACATAGCAAGGATCATGTTAACGCGAGAGCCCAGGTCATTTTATACTGTACTCTTGCTGTACACCACGGTGGAGGATATAAGGATGGCTTGTTGCTTACATAGGCCGAAGTAACTTTGGGACTGCACTCTGTATTCATGAATGAATGTTGATTTTCCCAATGTCTCAATTGCAGACGATGGCAGTAAAGGTCTAGTGAACCCGCGCTCCGTACATATAATGCATCGAGTACACTGAGAATTCGAGAGGAGAGCAGCAATACTAAAATCATCATGCACGTATAAAGCCTATCTGCCTCCAATACCGAACCCAACCCAGGGCATCATTCGAAGTCAAAGGCTCCATCTCCCGCAATGTTTTGCAGGTTTGCAGGGCTTGAGTCAGAGATAGCCTGGGTAAACCTATCGCTTCCTTGCTTGGATCATCTTCGGTGCGAGCGGCAGACCGGAAAAAGTCAAGGAGCAGAAGGGCGGGGTTGTCAGGAAGGAGTTTATCCGTCTTGATTCTGTCTCGGTGTTCGACGATGTCGCTGTGCTCAAGCGAGTCCAACCAAGTGTGGTACGGCACTAGCGGAAGTCCGAGAATCTCTGATATCGGGGTAAAAAGGGTTCTCCATGCCACAGGAATCGGGCTCGCTAAGTGAAGGACAGGCGGTGAGGCATTGCGCATCTCAGGTATGCTTGCCGCGACTAAGTCTGCCGGCATCCAAGAGACCGTCTAATACCAACCTTAGATTTCAGCGGGGCTACGTGCCGAGTCGTATGCTGCGCACCTTATTGGAATCTGGAAGACACTTCAGGTATATGCTCGACCGTATAAGTGAGGGCACCCAGTCTGAGGCCTTCCAAGCACCATTGACGCTCCCGCTT